CTGAGAAAAGTGAACTAGAGATCTTTCTCAGGCCATTTTTTGGAAGATCTGAGGGGATCTCAGGGCTGCCTCTTATCAGGAAGAGCAGCCTTGGCGAGCCAGAAGGGTTTGCTCATTCTGCACAGCCAGGAAGGTCCCAGGCGGTGTCCCTGGCTGGGGCTGGAGCTAGAGACAGAGCTAGAGCTGGGCTGGAGAGGGCCTTGAGTGCCCCAAACCATGATCCTGCTGGCCAGGGGAGAGACAAGCTGGGTCCCTGAAATTGGTCTGCCTCTGTGGGAGAGGGAATGAGACAAAGCAGAGCGAGAATTAGTGTTCAGCTGAGACGGGGACTGCAGACAGCCAACAAGACCAGGATTCAACAGGAGGGTCTTTCCCTGCCGAGGAGGTGGGAGATGCCTGCGCCCATGGCTTTGGGGAGAGCACTGGGTGAACCCTGCCACCCAGCATGGGTTTCGAGGAGGCTGCAGCCTGTGATTTTGCTATTCCCAGGAGTCATCCTCCAGCACGCGAGTCGATCACCCTTGCTACCCAAAAGACTACAATGAAACCGTCTCGCTGTCTTCCTTCCGCACCAGCCCCTGCACCAGCCAGAGCGACCCACGCCTGCCCCTCGGTGACAGGAACGTGACCCTGGAGGGCAGGGGCAATGCCAGCGGGTGCCTGGCTGCCGTCAAGAAGCTGTTCAACTTCTCGGCGTGCGGCCAGAGCCCGGACTGCACCTTCGATGGTGTTTACCAGCCCCCGGTCAGCGGGCAGTTCATTGTAAGGCAAATCCCATCCTCCCACCTCCCAGACAGAGCATGGCCCCAGGTGCTGTGGATGTCCCCGGGTGCTGTGGTGTCCCTGCATGCCCCATGGCACTGTCACCTCCCCACAGCAGAACAGGGGCAAGAAGCACCCAAATTACCATTGCCCGAGGGCACAACAGGGATTGCTGCCATCTGGTTTTTGAGCCAGCTCTCCAAAGGGGACCATGTTAATAAAACAGGTTCTTAGTCAAAACCCAAGTTTTCTGTTAAAAAACCCAAAAAGCTTAGCCAGCAGCCTTCAGGCAAGGCTCTGCCTGTGCTCGATGTGCTGCTGTAGCCAGCAGGCACCTACACCCCCAGCCCATCATCTCTGCTGGGACATGGGCAGCGATGCCCTGACACTATGTAATGGTGGGGCAAACCCAGTGAAGGACAAAGTCCACCTCCTGCTTCGAGGGAGATGGGGGCAGCTGCCTGGTGGGGGGGGGGTTCCCCACTGTAACTCAATGGCATTTCTGCCTCTTGCCTTTCAGGCCTTCTCTGCCTTTTACTATAACTTCAAGTTTCTCAACCTGACCAAGGGGCAGTCGCTGGCCGCTGTCAGGGAGACCATCGAGCACTTCTGCACAAGAAGCTGGGAAGACGTACGTTCCCCATGATGGGAGGCTGTAGGGAAGCTTCACAAGCAAAGGGGTCCTGGGGTGGGGGAAGAGGAGTGGGGACCCCACCAGGGCAAGGCTCCCTGGTTGCTGAGCTGTGCTCTACACAGCGGAGCCATCCCTGAGCTCTGTGAGGGAGGCAGGACCATCCTGCACCCACCCTTGGGGACCCTCCTTGCTCATGCAACATTGGGAAAGGGGCAGCCAGGGCAGGTGAAGGCAGCAAAATATCCCCACCAGCAATGGAGGTGGGGCTGGAGCCCTGGAGGATGGTAAGAGGGGAGCCAGCTGCTGGCACCACGCTGGAGATGTGTCAAATGGGGATGAATAAGGCCAAGAGATGTGGTAGGACCACCATGGGTCAGAGAGCAGGGGTCCCTTGCACAAGGAGGCTGAGATGGGAGAATCTGGGGCAGGAGGAGCTCAAATATGTCTCTGTTTCCATGTGGAGGGTAAATCCTCCTCAAAGGAGTTGCCGTGTATGGACAGGTCCAAAATACCTGCCTGCTTCAGGAGTCTTTTTCTGGATGCTGGTGGCTGCAGAGCCATTGCCCCTCGTGCAGCAGTTGTCAGGGCATTGTCCCTGCGTGGAAATTGCCTGCAAATAACTTCCTTTCCTCCCCAAACATGTCCCCACCCCAGCTGTCTTCTAGCTACCCCAAAGAGAATCCTGAGCGACTGCCTAAATACTGCGCCAATGCCAACTACATCCTCACACTCCTCCTCGATGCCTACAAGTTCAATGAGACCAGCTGGAACAACATCTTCTTCCAGATGAAGGTAGGCAGCAACCCAGCCTGCAGGCAGGAGTAGAGGCAGTGCCGGGGCAAAAAAGCTACCTTCCTGCATCGAGGTGCCGTGAGAGCCATGGTCCAGAAAGCCCTGCTTGCCCCACATCCCAGCATGGCACTGCATCGGGGGCCAGCTACTGCACCCTGTTTAGGCCATGCGGGAGTAGGTGGCCCTGCGTCATCGGTGTGGCTTTCCTGCAGAGCTAACTCATCGTCCCCTCTCTCCTCGGGCAGGCGGGGAGCGCGGATGTTGGCTGGATGCTGGGGTACATGCTGAACCTCACCAACATGATCCCAGCGGAGGCTCCGGTGCAGGTGAAGGGGCACGTTCCTTCCCTGTGGGCTGCAGCCATTGCCTTCATCTGCCTCATGCTTGCCTTGGGGCTTGTTGCCTTTCTCCTGATCTTGTGGGTGTAGGAGCCCAGCTGCATTTCGGAGCATGTTGGGGCTGGAGGGCTGTCTGCACTGCGGTGCCCTGCCAGCAGGACTGGCAGCCTGAGGCTCATTCAACGATGCTGAGCACATTAATCTCTACAGCACTAAAGAACCAAGGTCTGGCCTCCCACGGGGCTGCCCCCAACACACAGACAGGCACCATGTGAGGTTTCCAGAGGAGCTCTGGACCTACTGGGATCCACCTACACACCACAGGAACCCAAGCCATGCCTATATGCCTCCTTACACCTCTGTGCCTATTACAGATCTGGCCTCCATCCCACCAGGTGGCACATGGGGCTGTGGAGAGCCAGCCTGGCCATGGAAGAGCTCTCCAAGTGCCAGGCTGTTAGTGCATGGCTGCAGGCACCTGGTGACAGGGTGCTTCGTGCGATGCTGGGTCTGACCACAGTTGCCAACAGCCAGGCAGGTCCCTGCCGGGTCTGCCAGTGTGAGGGCATGCAAGGCTCTGCGGCATCCCAGCTGGCTCTCCTGAGGGTGTATCATTTGGGTTTATCCGATGGTCTTGGAGACAGAAGGCAAATTGAGCATCCAAAGTCAGAAGCATGGTCCATGCCTTCCTAGACGCTCAATCTCATCTCAATCTCATCTCAATCTCATCTCATCTCATCTCATCTCATCTCATCTCATCTCATCTCATCTCATCTCATCTCATCTCATCTCATCTCATCTCATCTCATCTTCCTTTTCTTCTGGGATAAAGGGACTGATGTTCCTGAGTGTCTTCCTGGAGACCAGACTGTCCCACCAGCAGAAGGCCTAGACACTGTGGGTGTCAGGCTGAGATTCCAGCAGGCTGTGAGTCCTGCTGTAACCCTGCACACATGGCTGAGCTGGGTCCTGCCCACAACTGTGCCCTTGCTCGTTATCTGCCCTGTGGATGACTCATCTTGTTATTTGCTTCCTGGCAGCAAGGAGCTGACCTTTGGTGTCTTTGCAGAAAGGCAGGTGTCTTGCAGCTCTTGTCATCCAAATAAACGTTGTAAAAGTCAACAAATGGGGAAATGCCTGCTGCTTTTACCCTGAACTGTTACGGTTTTATTGTTTCCGGCTCCCAGATAAGGGTTGGTGATGACAATGGGGACTCAGGGGAGAGTCAACATCACTCGGTGCTATGGGAGATGCCCCTGGAGAACTCACAGCATCTGCCAGACCTCGGAGAGGAGCCAGCAGGGCACAAGAACAGGCCTTTTCCTTCTGAGAGCTGGGGCGTCTCACCTCACCCATCCACTGGCTGCCAGTGGGACTCCCCAAAAATGTAAGGGGGCCCCGGGAGCTGCCCCTGACACGTCCCAGCAGCATTCCCAAATCACCTTGTGTGCTGGAAAGGGAAGGTGAGATGTCTGCCTGGCACAGACACAGGGTGAGGCCAGAGCAGAGGGGAGCCTCATGCAGGAGAGCAGGGGGCTGCTGCCATCCCCCACCTCACAGGGCTTCCCGGTCCTGGGCAGAGCCCGAGTCCCATCTACTGGGCCAGCTTCCCCCATAGCCCCATTGCCACTGCCCCTCTGGCTGGCACAGGATAGGACAGGATAATTTTCAGTTGGAAGGGACCTACAATGATCATCTAGCCCAACTGCCTGACCAATTCAGGGCTGACCAAAAGTTAAAGCGTGTTGTTAAGGGCATTGTCCAAATGTCTCTTAAACACTGATAGGCTTGGGGCATCAACCACCACCTCTCTAGGAAGCCTGTTCCAGTGTTTGACCACCCTCTCGGTGGCCATGGGTGATGCAGGCTTTTATCCCAGGATGGGGCAGGACACATCCACGCCACATCGGGTATCTGCTGAGGCTGTAACCAATGCTGTGATGATCCCCTTGCTGCCAGACAGCCCTTTTCTCTTCCCTGACCCACTGGTCCCACCACCTCCAGCCAGCCCACATCACTGTGGTCTCCATGCCCCCAGCACTGAGCCCCTGCCCCACATGGGTTGCCCAGAGAGGTGGTAGATGCCCCATCCTTGGAAACATTCAAGGTCAGGCTGGATGGGGCTCTGAGCAACCTGATCTAGTGGAAGATGTCCCTGTCCATCGCAGGGGGGTTGGACCAGATGGCCTTTAAAGGTCCCTTCCTTCCCAAAGCATTCTATGATTCTATGGCCAACCCCTCCCTCCTAGAGCATCTCCAACCAGCAGCGAGGGGAAAGGAAAACCAGACAGCTTACAGCTACAGGGAGGATTTTTAAAGCCTGTGCCGGTTCCAGCTGACCAGGCCAGGGCACGGGTGCCCCACATTACAAATTCAGAGCCCTGGACACGTGGGGGGATTCCCCAGCCTGCAGCTCCTCACATAAGTGCGGCACAAGGACTAAGTGGCTTCGGCAGCCTCTAGAGCCAGCGCTGCTAGAGACTCTCATAACCGGAGTTTTTCTGGCAGCATATGACTGTAAGCAGGCCAAAGATGAGGATGAGCATGATGGCCAGTAAAACCGTGGCTACTATCCAGTTGCTCCTCTGGAGCCCTACGACTCTCTGGGGAGTCTCCGAGGGAATCATGTTGGTGAGATTGAGCATGTAGCCCAGAGTCCAGCCCACGTCTACGTTAGCAACCTGTGCAGAGAAGGAAGAGGAATGTGAAAGGTTGCAAAGTACCACGCAAGCTGGAGAGCTAGAGAAGACCCTTGCTGTTGCACCCCCAGGTCCTGCTCCACAGCCACCGTATCTGTGCACACCCTGGGCTGCAGATACCCCATTAGTGAGACGAGCTGGGGGGAGAGCATAAATGGCCCAGGGCAGATGTCCCAGCAGGTGTAAGTGTAACTCAAGAGCTGCCCCAGGTACGGGCAGAGGTCCGTGCTGCCCCGTTACCCCCTGCTCCCCCACCCAGGCAGGGCAGGGGCATTGGCAAGGTGGGCACAAGCCATTTCATGGCACAAAGCGTGGAAGCTGGGGGCTGCCGGGCACTTTCCTACCTGCCGGACGAAATGGATGTTAAGCCACGTTTTGTGGTTGAATTTGTAGCCTTGCAGGAGAAGGGCGAGGGCGTAGGTGCTGGCTGCGCAGGTGTCACGCAGGTGGGTCCTGTTCATGGTGGGGAACTCCTTCTGCACCTGCAGAGGTGGAAGAGCCGGGGGCGGCTGCCAGCACGGAGCAGTGCTTGGTGCACCCACACTGCGGGGAGGAGCCCCGCAGTGCAGCTGGGAGCAAAGCCCCGGGAGTGCCTGGCCTTAGGGAGCCAGGAGGACCTGGGAGGCTGCAGGCTGCTCTCCCATCTCTCTCCCTGTCCAGAGATCTCTGTGCTCCTCCCAGCTCCCTCCAGCTGCCCTCTGCACAGCAGAGGATGGGCTGCGGATGAGCCCTCAGGCTGGGGCTGGCATCTCCTAGGCAGGATCTCACCTTCTCCCAGCTACTGGTGCAGAACTGCCCGATGGTGGCGTTGACCAAGCTCAGGGACTGCCCTCCAGTCAGGTTCAGAAAGTGAAGGCTGTGATAGAGCCCCGAAAAGGCCTGAGGGTGTTGAAGACCAAAGGCGGCAGGTTAGTGAAGCACCCAGGCCACTGCCACCCCCCCGCCCCTCCCTCCGGGTGCTCTGCAGGGTTCCCTAAGGCCACCTCTCAGCACTGCAGGGTGATGCCGGCCGACTCACTGGGACTGCTCCCCACACTGTAAGAGATGGGTGCTGTGACAACAGAGGTCTGGGTCTGCCTGGCACGCTGGTGAGCACCCTGCGTGTCTCCATACATTGGGGCATCCCAGCTTTCAGGGCTGGCACTAATCAGACTTTTCTCCCACAGCAGTTCTCCTGGGGTCATGGCCAGCCTCTGGTGCCCCCCGCCCTGACCACAGCCACGGGGACGGAGGCTCCTTACGAAGAACTGTCCCCGCACGGGCGGCTGATAAACCCCGTTGAACCCGCACGTCCTGTTGGCCCCACAGCTGAAGTTGAAAAGTTTCTCGATGGCGGTGCCGCACGCTGTCGGATCCCCCGTCCCTGTCACCGTGAGGTTCTGTGCAGGGCTGGGCGTGCTCGGGGCATGGACACAGGGACTGTCATAGAGGTCTGCCGTGCTGACGTTCTCCTGGTAGCCCTTGGGGTAGCAGGGGTGTGATATCTGCTGGGGAGTCTGGCTGTCCTGGAGAGAGCGGGAGGCATTAGCATCGCCCTGGCCTTGAGGATGAGGATGGAAAGGAGAGAACCAGCCCACAGAGAGCACCCGTTCCCACACCCGGATGCAGGACACAGCATGCTGGCCCCACCACCCGTGGGGTCTCGTCCATGGGATGCAGGCACAGAATCACGGGGACAAGCACGGCACGACCACACCGTGGTCAGGGACCAACTACAGTGATGGACGCGTGCCCACGGCCTTGGGCGTTTGCACCCTGTGCTGAGCGTGGACCCATTTTGTCCCCACTCTGCCTTTGTAGGGTCACCAGACCCAGGGGAGAGCCAAGGCTGAGAAGCCATTTAAGCCAAACCAAAACAGACACTGGTTTCTCTTTGCAACGTGCTCTGGACGTGGTCTTTTGCCCATTCCAACCAGCACGAGCCGGCATCGAGCCCTCACCCCGCAGCCAAGCTGTGGACATGAGGGTCCCCCTGTGCAGCAACACCACCTCCCTTCACTCTCCCATGCCCAGCGCCTACTGCTGAAGACCAGCATGTTCAGATCTCTATCCATAAAACCAACTTATTAATTACCATACTGGTGCTAAAAAAATCTCTCTGGGTCTTCCCCAAGCTCCCAGCACCTAGCAGGTTCCCTCCTCCAGGGCTGGGTCCTTCCAGCCCCCTGTGACTGGGGCTGGGCTGAAATAGCCCCTCCATCAGGACAGGGATGGAGATCTGGTGGGCAAGATGGCCCTGGGACAGGGGCCCCGGGTACCCACCATCCCCACAGTGCCTGTGGTCAGGCATCCTGCTTTGGGGTGTCCACCTCTGTCTTGGCTCGATCCTGCCCTGCCGTTGGGACACCCCTGGGATGGCTCCTGCCATGGTGGCCCTGTTGTATCCGCCATCCTCACTGGGCTGCGCACAAAGGCACCGAGCCCAGCGGCCATCACACCCAGCGGGTGCTGCCTGTCCAGCTCACTGAGATTGGGGCTCAGGCTGCAGCAGAGGACCACAAGGCTGGAGGTGGTTACCTGGTGTAAGGATGCCATCAGCATCTTCAGGGCTTGCTTTTCCCCATAGCAGAGGTAGCTGTGGGTGTAAATGGAGTAGTTGGTCCCGTACAGCCTGAGGAGGGCTTTGGTGCTGCTGTCATCTATGGTGGTCCCAGGAAGGAACGTGATCTGGGTTGAAGCTCCACCGAGGTCCAGAGCTCCAACCACAACTTCTGCTGGCGGGTGGGTCCACTTGCCTGTGAAGGAGCACTGCCCAGAACCGGGAGTTACCCACGGGGACCCGGCACAGGGCGACCACAGGGGTATCGGCTTCCCAGCCCAGCCTGCAGCACAGCAGGGAGTGGGGACCCCCTCTGCCCTGTCCCCCAGCCCACACCTTGATGAGGGTCTCCAGCAGGTAGTTGACGGTGATCCAGCCAAAGGAGCCCTCCTCGTTCCCCGTCAGGATCCGAGCTCCGCGGAAGTCCACAGGGTACTGGCCAATGGCCTTGGCAACCTCGGCCAAGACCTGCTCGGCCTTGGTGCTGTTCTGCTCCCTGCCCAGGGAAGGAGAGAAATAGCGCGCGGTGGAGGAGGCAACGGCTGGGGAGCTTTCAGAGCAGGGCTAGCAGCAAGAGGCTGGCGCCTTCTCCAAAGCGTCAGGGCTGCTCAGAGACAGGGGTCGTGCCCCCCCACCACCGCCCCGCCCGGCGGCTGGGCCCCCCCCGCC